TTGGTTGGTATAACACACAATTCGAAACAAATACATCTTACTGTAAGGCACTCTCCAAAGCAATTGTATTGTGCAGTAAGACACTATCAAACAGCCAGAAGTACAACATCCAGAGTGATAAAATTCTTCCGATTAAGAGAAGCTTGTACTGTCCAAATAAAAAGAAAACTGGAACACGCATAATCTCCAAACGCTTTCTTTATAATATTTCTTACTAAAATATACTTTATTTCATTTATTGCAGATACAATTCCAGTACTGCAAAACAATTGCACTGCATGGACCAAAAATCATTGTATCTTGTCCTTCATAAATAGTTTCCACATCGATAAATCTGACGTTATCTAGTGCCGAGGTTATATATGTATGGAGCTGCAACTCTTCTTCAATATATTCACGGCGCAGTGCTTATAAACACAGGAACAACTTGGCCTTCGTTGTATATAGTTAATATTCTCCCTCCATTAACACCTGGATTCAAAATTAAATGTGCTATGTACCTTGTAATGTAGACCCTAAATACCAATTATGATGGAAGCATATGACCTACTTGGAGGGACGAGGGACTCATCCTTAGGCCTGTGAGCTCATTTCGTAAATTCTGATAAAGAGTGCATAAAAGAACTCACTAAGACTGATTATTATTGTTGTCTGTCTCACAGGCTAGTAATTAACTCCCATAATAACATAATAATCATGATGAGTATTAATTAGCTCCATAGAGTGTAATCCTTTCTTTAAAGCTAATAGTCGTTCAGCTATTAGAACATTTCTCTATTTTTCACGGAAGCCATACTTCACTATCCTGTATACAACGATCTACCACTGGTCCCTATCCCGAACCAAATAAATCCATTCAATATCCTTCCATGTTATCCTTTTAAGGGCAACATTAATACCACCCTACCATCTATGCCTATGCCGTCCAAGCGGTCTCTTCTCTTCCTCTTTTCCGATTAAAAGTTTGTGTTATTTCTCACATCTTTCATACGAGATACATTCTTCTCCCATCTCATTCTCTCTGGTCTAATCAATAATATCTGGAGAAGTGTACAAATTCTGAAGCTCCATTCTTAGTTCCAAATCAAATTATCTTCACAGCACCCTGTTCTAAAACTTTGTCAATCTATGTTCGGCGCGTAATACAGAAGACAGGTATCAGAGCCATACAAAACAACGGGCTAAATTGTATATTTCTATATCTTATACTTTATAACTAATTGAGAAATGTGAAGCCAGATATTTCGAATTAAATGGCAACAAGAATTCAATTAATTACAGCCGCTCTTAATTTCTTCACGAATAAAACTTGAAAACCCCATGAACAATCGGTGCTTTTACAGAGTAACTTATAAAAAATCATGAGCAATCTCAGCTTGAGTGCAGTACTTCAAAAAGCCCATGAACACTGGTTCTTCTATACAATATTTTACATAGTCCCCATGAATCACCGGTGCTTCAGTACAATAACATACAAACCCCCATGAGCAATCAATGTCACATTACAAAAACTTACGGAACCTCGTGAACAGTCAATGATTCAGTATTAAAACTTACAGAGCCCATGAATCACCGGTGATTCTGTACAATCATTTACAAAACCCGATCAACAACCATTTCTTCAGTACAATAACGTACCGAACCTCGTGAACAGTATATGCTGCCGTACAATAACTTACAAACCCCAAGAACCCCGATACTTTTTGTACAATAACTTACAAACCCCCATGAAAAACGGCGCTTTTATATAGTAATTTTTAAAAGCTCATAAAAATCAATGCTTCAGAACAATGACTTATGCAACCTGTGAATAGTCTGTGCTTCTATATAATATAATAATAATCAATGCCTCAGTACAATAATTAAAAAAAACAGTGAACAATAGTGTCATCTGTACAATAAGTTACAGAACAACACACAATGGATGTATCCATAAAGTAACTTGCAAACTACACCAACAATCTTCCCTTTCGCGCAATAACGCACACATCTTATGAACAATCAGTATAATACATACAATAATATATATATATATCATCAAGGATGAACGTTATTTAAATAACTTACAAAATTCATGAACAATCATTCTCTCTGTATAATGGCTCACAAACCTCATCAACAATCGCCATTCCTGTAATATAAGGTGTCATCAGTCGGTGGTTCTGTACAGTGACATATAAACCTCATGAAGGGCCATTGCAAAGAAGCAATTAAAATAAAAGTGAAAAATATTAAAGGTATAATATTTTGAGTTTAAATTCCATTAAAGACATTTTCTTTATTTTATGTACTACGGAAATGTTTTCTCATTTTGAGAAGCGACGAACTGCAATGGTGGAAATGAGATTTTCAGGAAAATATATGGACCCAAGAAGAATAAAATAATTCCGTCCGTAGGATATTACGTAACAATACGCTATGAGATTGCAGGTCGCCTAGTGCTATGAGGTCCAGATGTTGGCGCTGAGATGACTAAGTGGCTCAGGATTTTTGGTGGGAAACGTTTCGGGAAGGGGTCATTTGAAAGATGGAGAGGTAGCAAGATATCGTCCGGATAAATCATAGTAAAAAGTAAAGTAAGTAAAGGTATCCCCGTAACAGCCCCGTTCCAGTGCGGCTGGAAGGATTAGGTCAATTGAAAAAATCCAGTGACCTCATCTGGACTGGAACCCTCGGCCTTCCGGCTTGTAGCATAGTGCCTCAACCAACTACGCTACCGCGTGCCCTCTGGATAAATCATAATTCTTTTACATTGTGAAGATGAAGGAAGCCATTAGAATCGTTACCAGCAACGGGTTTTGTTATTAGCGATGCCGAAATTCTGAAGTTGCTTATTTACGGAACATAATAGTTGAATAATTGTTAATTTGGTGATTGCGAAAGACGGGGGTGCGTGGTTCATTGAAAGAAGGGTCGTGTTAAGTGAACTAAATTCTTCACATTAATATCAAGAATATATGTGAGTGAAGTGAAGTCTCGCAAGGGACATACACATCACAGCCACTCTTGTAAACTCATCAGGTTCGTGAAGCGTTAATATTCCATATTTATATTCCGAAGGTACCTAGTTCGAATTCCGGTCCTGTTGGATTATATATTTCTGATCGACACATTCGAGTGATCAATATTCCTGATTCACATTCATGAAGTCCCTGTTTCAAATGTTGGGCCATAAGGCCGTTCTTCCTGGCAGACTTTCTTAATATTTTTTCCGTAGTCCCTCCAGGAAGATTCTGTGATAATAAATTAGGCCATGGCCACTTCCACATTCATTTCAGTTTATTAGTCAACAATCATCCTATATTCGAAACTCTCTGATCCACTGAGCTCATCATATAATAAGCCAAGCATAAATACACACGAGTTATCCCTCCTTGTACCTCGTCAGACTATCTGTCTGTCTATCTATCTATACATATACAGGGTGATTCACGAAGTTTTACCCCCACTTAGGGAGGGCATTCCTGAGGTAATTTGGAACAAAAAATATTAATATACTAATGGTATCCGACTCATGATCAAAGAGATACAGTAATTTGAAAACTGGCGAAAAAATATTTTTTTTCTTCGAATTTCAGTCAAAACAAATTAGAAATACAATACAAACACTTTTTAGATCGTTAATGTTTTAGGAAAGATGCATTCTAGAACCATTTTTTTTTTCCAATTTCTTAATTTTGCATTGTGCAACATTTTTCATCGATTTTGTGTTACAAAATTACATTATTTTCAGCATCCCATTCTGTAAACATACCAATGGTTGCATATCACACCCTTCTATCAATCTGTTTCCTTTAAACTGTAGTGCTTTAGAAGACGACTGGATTTACATAAGATTTTCAAAAATGTCTCCCTGCACGTCAACACAATGCGTCGCACGCGTATGAACCGCTCTGCCTATCTACCTACGCGCAACATTCAAACCGGTCTACCTTATCTGCTGACATAGCTGACTGGAACGTATGGTAGCCCACGCTGAAGCATAGCGCTGCATTCACAATGATGCGTTTCGAAAATCTATTGTTAATCCGTAACTATTGAAAATCGACCAAAAGTTTATAAGGAAATTTTGCAGGAAATAACCCCAGGAATATGTACCATAAGCCGGGGTAAAACTTCGTGAATCACCCTGTATATCCATGCCTCTACAGTCCTTTTGCTGGACTTTGGTCGTTCTTTTCAGTTTCTAAATCCTATACGCAGCCGGTAGGACTCCTCGGACGGAGGTTCAGCCCTTCGCAAGGCCACTACCTACACACACAACACAAACACATAATAAACGCTCACAGACATACATGCCTTGAGTGGGATTTGAACCCACGAACCCAGCGTTCGAGCGAGCGAAGACAGTGCATGCCTTAGACCGCGCGGCCACTGTGATCGGGATTCATCCTATCAAAAGTGTGTTAAAAAAAAAAAAAGGCCACAGATATGTTTTGTACCCATTTTTGGTAAATTGAGTAATGAGTTGAAAACTATTATTCTCCCTGTGCTTAATTAAGCACTATGCCATGAAGTCCTATGCGAAAGAGAAGTTATATTTCAACGCATTTTTACCTCGTCAATAGATTGAACTGCTCTATCAGCTTCAAGCCCTGACAGATTTTACCGTGGGTAAGGGGCTCCAGCTATAAATTGCGTGAGCCTCAGACTAGGTCTGGATGCTGTGACGAAAAGTTTTTCTCCTGCAACGAATAGAACCTCGATTCCTCAGTCGTCTAGCTCGTAGTATAGTCGCTATGAAAACTGGTAACTTCTCGATTTTATGTTGATAAAGATACACCACAGTTATCGAACACAATAAAATATGGAAGGCAACTAATGTGTATTTTCCTGTTCACCGAAATCAGTTGCCTAGTTTCGCAGCTGAAATATGCGGACGAACATTCTTTCTATATTGTCCTATCCATGCATATTGCGGGGAGGGGGGGACAAAAATATATATATATTATATATAAAGAACATTGTTTACGCGGCAAATGTTCGAATGCGTTACTCACCATTCCTCCAACAGCCGTGTAAATCATAAGTGTCAGAAATAATCCGACATGTCCAAGGGCTGATCGTAATCTGGACCAAAGGCTCGGACTGGAGCTGGACTCAGACTCCAATTTTTTCTTATTGTCACCATTCATGTTCCTTGCATAACATAGCACATCACCTACCGCTGTCTGAGATTGCCATGTGTCGGCTGCAGACTGAAAGCGAGCAGCTACTGCACACAGACGCCAGTAGACTGACGTCCAGCGCCCTCGCTACAAGCCCAGATTGAACTGCAGCTTTTGTTTGAGATTTCAGGCGCTCATGCCCCACTCTCTGCCAGAGATCAGAGTGGGCCCGACTGGGAGAAGAAACATTCGGTTTTACTTCCGTGTATTATTACTACTTCGACTGATGTTGTTTATTTACTTTGGGTTTATTTGACGACTGCTGTAGTAGCTCTGAAGATACAACGGCGAACGATACGCTGATTAATGAATGAAGAATTGGAAGATGGGTAGAGGGAAGTGTTATAGAACCATTTTCAAAGTTCCATTCCGGCATTCGCCTGGAGGAACTGAGAAGAACCACGAAAAACTTCAATCAAGACAATACTTCTCGTGTTTCAGATTCAAACCAGGCACCTCCCGGATTGACAATGATCAGCCAAATGTTATTATATAACGTTCGAAGGAATTGTTACTTGAGTATCAGGGATTCCTGTTATGTATTTGGGAGGTCTAGGGTTCTAGTTTCTGCTGGAAGACAGGTTGTCTACATTGAATGATCTTTGGCTTATTTAACAACAAATTCTATACTCCGTAACTTTTATAGCGTAGAATAGCAGAACGTCTGCGCGAACAATCATTTCGAAACAATGTGAAAGGAACTGGTCGAGGCCTGTTTTAAAACTTATCCGGGATATATCGGTAGGGAGCGAAGAATATAGCGAAAACCGTCAAGATCCGAACCAAGGACCTTCCGGATACGAAGCAGGAATGCCATAACTTCGACGTCTACTATCCGCATTGGAGTTATTCTTGTTCTTCCAGGCAGATGTTGGGACTGCACTTCAGAATAGGTTATGCCGCTTTCTTCAATATTGTTCCAAATTCATCAGTCCCATCCACTCTCTCATTCTACACGTTCTACACCACGCAACCAATTCAGCCGAGAAAGCGTTCTGAAATACACTTTGAATAGGCACGTTAAGACGGAAGTTTTAGGCTCGTGGGAATATTGGACGGATTGCTAGACGTTTGGGTTACTAAGCAACGCAATTTCATAAATAAGGTTATATAGGGTTTGAGTGAGCCTGGACAATTATTATAAACAAAAAAGAAAACTCCTTGGCCTGTAGTCCACAAGCGAACTACACCTACCAAGCGACAGCCGCTTGTCGGCGAAGTAAGTGCCAACTTTAGCGGATAGAGGGTGTCGCGTGGTCAGCGCAACGGATCCCCACGGCAGTTAATCGCGGTTTTCTAGACCAGAGCCGCTATTTCCTTGAAATAGCTCCTCAATTATCCTCACGAGGCTGAGCGGACCCCGTTCCAAACCTACTACTTCTCAGAAAATTTGGTAGCGCCGGGAATCGAACCCGGGACCTCTGATCTGTATCCAGGAACTCTGACCACTAGACCACAGATGCGGTAGTATCATAAACACAGAACAGGAAAACTTTAGGAGGCAGCTACGATCTATCAAAGATTACAATTTCAGCATTTTCTTGTGGAAACAGAAAAAACTGAAGAGAAATCTTAGTTACCCAGCCGAGATTCGAACCGATCTCTGTGCAAACACAAGTTCTGAGAGTTGTTGCTATACATCCTGGTTCGAAACGGACAATGGGGAAAGAAAGCTGCGCCCAATCGACAGGAGCTAGACACACTCAAAACACAGTTCACACATGGCAGTGCGGTGGCAACCCTGATGACACTTCCTGTTGGGGAACATTACAGTAGTAAGTGAATGCAATGGCTGTGCCATAGCTCAGGAGGTTAGTCGCCGGCTTTCTACCGCAGAGGCCCGGATTCGAGCCCGGGTTAGGCCATGTGGGATTTGTGGTGAACAAAGTGGCACTTGGGGCCGTTTTCTCCTAGTACTTCGGTTTCCCCTGCCAATTCGGATACTTCAGAGTGCTCCACAATCATCATCATCATCATCATCTAACACCTGGGGCTTCTACAATAGGTCAAACAGTGGCGGAAGTACCAAATGGACTCAGTCTCACCCCATGCGAAAGAAAGAAAGATGTAATAAAAACCACCTGATACAACGGTACATTTTATCTACTAAGCACAATGCTCTTTTTCACCACACATATTCAGGCAGAAGTCAAGGATCAAGATTCTGTTGTATTCTACTGTAGTTTATACATAAAATGTAAAGCTTTTAACAGCTCTCAGACTTAACACCTCTAAGGTAAAATTGTCCCTGTGCTTAACTAATTAAGCACTACGCCATGAAGGTGTATGGAGGAGTGGATGTACAGCTCTACATTTTCTTCACCTCGGCACTAGGTGAGTGGTCAGCTTCACGCCCCAGCCACTTTGCCCCTGGGGAAAGAGACCCAGTTACCCATTAGATAGGAGGGTGGGTGGACCCCAGAGCTGGTCTGTGGACGAGGTGAAGAATAGAAAATTCTTGATTCTATCGGGACTCGAACTCAAACTCCTTGGGGCGTCCAGCCCGAAACCAGTCGCTATACCGATTGTAACATCCCGGCTCCTATTAACACCTCTGAATATATAAAAATTCCACCAAATTATATTTGGTTAAAATGATCATTATGTTGAATACAGTTTTATCATGTGGTTTTATTAAATTGACAGGACTGAAGGTTACAGCAGCAGTAATGACACCTGCAAATCATGCAACATTAACGTTATTATAGCGATATGCTTAACTAGGATTTCAGAAAGTAGGAAATAAATTGAACAAACGTGAAACCTCGCGAATAGTTCAAATGCAAAATTTGGACTTTGATAACAAGGAAACAGAACACAACTCACGCACCTAAGTATGAGATTTCACGAGTGTCCATGCTGGAAGCAGCGGTGAGGACGTCTCGCGTATGCCTTCATGTGCTGTGGCACGGTCAGTCACAACCGACAACTGCTCTGACTTGTTGCAGAGTTCCCTCCGCATGGTATAGCTGCCACCAGACTGCAGGTCGTCCTAATTAATGTTAGCTTCTGGAAGACACCCGAGTCGAGAACAAAGTTCCGAATGTCAAAGTCATGTCTCTGAACTGTATTACCATTTAATTACAATATTTACAACTGCAACAACAATCCACCGTGTCGCAAGTCTCTCACTAACCTGGTTCCCATTCATAATTCATAATTTTGTGAACCCCCTCCCTGTCCTTTGACTGCACTGGCTGTTACTCAGCGCCGCTCCCCCATACTTAAGAGAAGCGAAAGTGGCCAGGAACGAGGCCAGATATCTAGTGTTCATGGCTACGGCTTGGGAGATAGTTCCTCTTGTCTCCAGGCACTAGCCAACACACTAACAAACAGTGAAGTAACATAATTCGAAAGTCACCACTGATAGGAAAATCTACAACTGGGCACGACGCCGAGCCAGTTCCATCCACCTACGATTCTCACACAACCTATTTCCCTGAGCTCCATATTAATGTCTTCCTCTCTACTTAGTTTTCCAAGTCGATTTTTCAAAAGAGGTTATCACACTGAAATTTCATGCATGCGTCTCTTAATTCTGTTGGAGTCTCTTTGATTCCGCTATTCCAACAGAACTATTCAAGATGTGCGTATGAATCACGAACTTCCCAGTTATGTATCATTCTAAATTGTTCAATTAGTGCATCTTTACAAAACAGCAGTATAAAGGCACACCCTGAACCTCAAGTTCGTAATGAACTATACAAAATTACCGGAAAAATATTCGGAAGCCAGATGAGTAATATTCTATTATAAAAGTTGGCAGTAACTGCAGTGAGAGAGAACGGAAAGTTACATTTACTCTTGAATGAGCGAATGATGAATAATAATAATTTTATGTTAATTTCTCTGGAATTACTGTGATCCCTTCACATAAAATAAGATAGCGTCAGGTAGACAGAACTGCTCGAAATACTACTTCCTAACCTAATTTGCTCAGCTACAATAGAGACAAGCAGAATCCAACACTACTACTATTTCCCAGCATTTTATGGAACACGAAGGTTCATTACCGTGTTCACAAGAGCTCTCCACTGGTCCCTATCCTGAGCAAGATCAATCCAATCCATCCCATCCTATCTCTCTAAGTTCCATTTTAATATTGTCCACCCACCTATGCCTTGGTCTTCCCAGTGATCTCTTTCCTTCTGGCTTTCCCACCAATATCCTACATTCATTCCTCTTCTCCCCCATTCGTGCTACATGCCCTGTCCACCCCATCATCCTTGACTTGATCATTCTAATTATACTCAGAGAAGAGTACAAGTTATGAAGCTCCTCATTATGCAGTTCTCTCCAACCTATCACTTCATCTCTCTTTGGTCCAAATATTCTCCTCAACACTGTTTTCAAACACCCTCAGTCTATGTTCCTTCCTTAACATCAGAGACCAAGTTTCACACCCATACAGAACCACAGGCAAAATTATAGTTTTGTATATTCTAATTCTTGTGTTTTTGGACAGCAGACGAGAAGACAAAGGGTTCTGGACTGAATGGTAGCAAGCATTACCGAGTTCAATCGCCTCTGAATTTCCTCCTGAATCAGGTTTCGATTTGTTATTGTTGTTCCCAAATATCTGAACTGTGCCACATTTTCAAAACATCTGTTTCCTATCTTTGTCATGATTTTACCCTGCATTTTGGTGATAAGACAGCAACATATACTTAGTTTTCTCTGTGTTTACTTCTAAACCAACCTCTTTACTTGCGTCAATTAAAGTTGGTGTGTTTTTCTTTATGGTATATACATTATCACCCAATAGATTCACATCATCGGCATAGGCCAACAGCTGATGTGTCCTGTTTAATTTCAGTCTCACCTGGTTTCCCTGGACCTTCCTAATGGCATATTCTAAAGGAAAGTTGAAAAGGAGTGGCGATAAACCATC